TTCTGAGGTTTTGTCTTTTTTGTTCGCCACCTGGGAAATGTTTGTGTGAAAGACGAAGGCTGTGTGGTTATTGAAGGGGAGAAATGAGCACCGACGACACACACCAACTTTAAATCACACGTGACACCAACTTATAAAAGGAACTGGACACAAGGGTCAATGCAGACGTGAGAGCCTGGAGGAACTGGTGCGCCCCCTAGTGGCTAGAGCCCACTTAGGTCTCACTCCAGTGAATGAGAAGACATCCACATTTGCAGGTGTTGATTCACATAAGGTCGTCACGGTGTGAAAATGTAACCTCACGGTTATTGTGACCAAAATTATCACGGTTTTCGGTATTATCGAAGTATTTTTTTAAACGTGCTACATTTTCAGACGATTAAATAAACCCTGTATGTCAGGAGATATTGTCCTCAGTTTGTGTCTAAATTTTTCCTAAACTTTAGACACAAACACTATTTTGTAATGATGTTGTTTATTTGTTTACATTTTTTCCCTTTAGTCTTTAAAATACAATATTTGCCCATAACTTCTTATTTTTTGTCTGTTTGATGTCATCATTTAAAAATATTAGACCAGATGATACTCAGTACTCAAGTAGCCTTCTAATCAGATACTTTTTTACCCTTACTTGAGTAATAAACCCTATATCAGGAAAATATTGTCCTCGGTTTGTGTCCTTCCAGTGAGCTTTGCAGATGTGGGAAAATGTCATCAGGCAGTAATCATTGTTAAATTCATAATTATTCTCGGAGAGAGACCAACTCTTATCTGCCCCTGGGAGCCCCGTAATGCATAGCGTCATTTCAACATGGCGGTGTCCGCGACACTGTTTATATGCAGGTAGCGGCGCTGCGGCTGCTTTATATAGCGACTCGTTGCGTTCTCCCTCAACCCAAATCCTCGGATCACGCATTTTAGCTAAAACGCTAACGTTAGCTTGCCTTGCGTTGACTGTAGAGTTGTGGGTGATGGTCACGCAGATGTGTCATGAGATTTGAAGCGTTGCTGCCTTTCACAGACACTTTTTCTGCTCGTGCTGCAAACACGATAGCCGTCTTCTATCAGCTGTCCCTCGGCATTCTTCAAATATCCAAAAGATGCCCGTACTTCCCACTTTGTCTTCTTTGAGGGATAATAAATGTCCTGAGCGCTACGTCTCCTCCTTTGGCCGTTATTTCAGCTTTAGCGTCAAGAAAGTTTTGGTTGTAAACAACAAAGTGCGCATGTGCTGCCGGCAACTTCAGCAGATGATACGGTGGCTGGTAAGGGTCACCGCGCCTACACCGCAGCCATGCTAATCCACCGAGATAATATATGTTTTTTTTAAAACAAGATGGTTATTATTATTGTCATCAACTTTATTACTGGGGTTTACCGCTACACCGGTTACCGTGACAACCCTAGATTCACATCGTTCTTACTTTGCTGTTGCATGTTCACATAGCCTGTCTTCACCTGCTAAAGCACACCTGTCCGTCCCACTGGACACAAACTTCCTGTCTGCTGGCACGTAACTAAATTCAGGACACGACTCAGGAGTGTTGTATGTAGTCACGCGTGTTTGATTTTAAACAACGTTTTACCGTGGAAAAGGAAACTTGGAAGGTCCCACAGTTTTAAGGAGGAGCTGTGAGGCGCGGCCTCTAAGATCACAGACGACACCGGGGCCCTTTGGTCTTGTGTGTGGGTAAGCCGTTAGGGTTGTGAGATTAGACAGGATTAAACATCAACATTGTAGTCAATGTCAGATGGAGAGGAAATCCTTTCAGCCCAGTTCCTTTTTTAAAATCTTTGCTGATGTTCTGTTGCAGCGGATCAGTCCCCGCCCCTGATACACCACCCCCCATCACAAGGCCCCGTCGCCCGCTGGATCTCCACCCGGCGTGAGGAGATTGTCTCCCAGATGACGGACGCGTGTCTGAACCAGAGTTTGGATGCGCTGCTCGCCCGCTCTATGCTGATGCGAGAGGACTACGAGCTGGTGGTGAACCAGCCCACGCGCACTGCCAGGGTTCGCCAGCTACTGGACCACTGTCACAAACACGACGAGGACTTCTGCCGGATTGTTGTTCGCAAGCTGCTGGACAACAAGCAGGGGGGCCTGCACCCGTACCCGCCTGAGATCGGCTCCCCAACTGCAGCTGCCGTCCCCAGTGTGCCGTCTCTGTCCATGTCCTGCAACATCCCCATGAACATGTAGCAGCAGCAGATGGCACCACATCTGACACCCCCACCCCGGACCAGAGGTTGTGCTCTGACTGAGTCAGCGGTTTGATTTCATGTGATTTATTTATGTTGCTTTTAGTCAGAATGCTCTGTACAAGCGTGCGTTTGTGTGAAATGTAGGTGGACTAAGGCGAGCTCCCAGCATTCCTAACGCCGAGCCTTTGACTCGTATTTGGATGCTTCCAGAGTCACGTTTCCTGCAGGAACTGAGTAAAGTAGAGCTGAAACACCTGTACGAAGCAACCTAACATGACCATTTGTGATGAAGTCATTCTTTTATGTGGGTGTTCACTCCCCTTAGAAGTGTGTGTGTGTGTGTGTGGGGGGGGGGGGGGGGGGGGGTACCTCAGCAGTTCTGTCCAAACAGCGTCTTAAATACAAGAAGAGAAAGGAAATCTGGATCAAATGTGAATGCAGTGATAAAAACGTTCACTTGACTAGTTTGCAGTGACATCACCAGGCCCAGGTGACCCAGCGTGTCATACACCTCTATCAGATGTCGTAGGTGTGTAGTTGCTGTGTCGTATCTCTAATTCCATGCTGCAGTTCTTTTTTAAAACCTGTTTTCCCGCTACGTTTCGTTTGCGGCTGCAGGTGCAGTGCGCCTTTTGTATGTGTTAAACACCAAAAAGACACCCGTAACTGAAGCTGCGCCCTATAACACGGTGCGCCACGTGGTCGTGAAAATACGGTAGACAGAATATGCAGATTTCAGAACTGAGACAACCAGCTTCAGGGACCGGAGAAATGCCTGACGTAGTTTTACCGTCGGACGTTTTCAGACTTTTCAAAGAAAAACTGCATTTACTGCTGATGCATGAATGCAGCCTAAAATGATTTTGGGGGTATTTCTCATGAGGACATGACAAGATCACATGATAAAGCTCCAAAAAGTGGATTTTCTGTTACATGGCCCTTGTAAGTCACTGACTAGTTGCAGCTTGGTGAGTGATTGGCGTTAGTCTGCCTGCTCAAAACAGAAAGTCATCTTTCCTCCTTTTGTCCTCCTGTAGCAGCAACCGTTGTTAATAGAATACATGCAGGTTTGTGACGGGTTCTTACCTGCGGGGTATTTCTCTAAGCAACCTTGCCAAAGCGTGCCTGTTCACTCAGGGATTCAGCGGTAACACCAGTGATGCGCAGGTGGTGTCAATCCTCTCCAAGCAAAGTGAGGACCAGCAGGCGAGCCTGGCGCACCACAGGCAGCCCTGTTAGTCAGTGCCAGATAATCAATCAATCAATCAAAGCTTTATTTACAAAACGCCTTCCGCAACCCTGTCAGGAAGCCCAAGGCGCTGAACATGGTACAATAGAAGTACAAATATAGTGAATAAATCAAAAATAAAAGCAATTCAAAATACAAATGACAAAAAAGGTGAAACATTCTAGTACAGGACAGATGGGTAAAACAAGGGATAGAGTGAACCAATGAAAACTGTGAAAGAAATTAAACGTAAAAGAGGGCCGAATCAAACGTTCAGGAAACGCCAAGCAGAGGAGGTGTGTTTTTAGGTGACTCTTAAAGACTGGCAGAGAAGGGGACAGCCTAACTGAGGGTGGCAACTGGTTCCAGAGAGACGGTGCTAGGACTGAGAAAGCCCGGTCCCCACGGGTACGACACCTAGAACGAGGGACACCGAGCAGGCCTGGTCAGAGGAGCGCAGAGCGCGTGATGGGGAGTGTCTGTTCAGGAGAGTGGCCAGATAGGGGGGAGCACCACCCTGGAAGAAATTGTAAACAAAGACGAGGATTTTGAATTGAGCACGATAGCAAACTGGAAGCCAGTGCAGGGAGGCCAGAACCGGACTGATGTGGTCCCGTTTCCTGGTCCCAGTCAGGAACCTGGCTGTGCTGTTCTACACAACCTGTAGGCGACGCAGTGTTGACTGACACAACCCTGCATAGAGAGAGTTGCAGTAATCAAGCCTAGAAATTACAAAGGCATGCAGTACCCGCTCCAGGTGGGCTCTTGACAGCATAGGCTTGATTTTTGCAAGGCGTCTCAGATGAAAGAAACTGGACCGGATCACAGAGTTGATGTGAGCATCAAATTTAAGTCCAGCATCAATTTTCACTCCCAAACTGGTAACAACTGGTTTTGAGTAGGGAGAAAGAGGCCCAAGATCAACATAACGACCCACATTCCTGCTGTCTTTCCCTCATTCAGATGCAGATAGTTGGCCATTAGCCAAGACTTCACCTCGTTAATACAGGACACAAAGGACTGGATAGAGTGACCTTTCTCCTGACACAATGGAGAGTAAATCTGGCAATCGTCAGCATACAGATGGAATGATAGGCCATGTTTACGAAAGATTGACCCCAGAGGAAGCAGATAAATGGCAAACAAAAGTGGACCAAGGATCGATCCCTGCGGGACCCCCCAGCGGAGTCCCTCCCAAGAAGAAAAAACATCACCCAGTTTAACGCAGAATGTCCTGTTGTGGAGATACGATCTAAACCAGTCCAGAGCTGACCCTTTGATCCCAACCCATCGTTCCAAGCGATCGAGTAGAATTGCGTGGTCAACTGTGTCGAAGGCTGCTGTCAGGTCTAATAACAGAAGCAGCACAGATGTTCCCTGATCTAGTGATGGATATATATATATCATTTAAGGCCCTCGGTAGAGCAGACTCTGTGCTATGGCCAGACCTGAACCCTGATTGGAAAACCTCAAACAGATCAGAGTCAGCTAAATGTGAGACCAGCTGCTGATAAACGACTTTCTCAAGCAGTTTAGATGTAAAGGGCAGGGTAGAGATAGGCCTGTAATGTTCTATCACAGAGACATCTGCACCAGGTTTCTTCAGTGTCGGCCGAATAACTGCTGCTTTCAAAGCAGCTGGGACCACACCTGTGCTGAAGCTCCCATTGATAATCTGACCAAGTGATGGGCCAAGGCACGGAAAGGCAGCCTTCCAGAGACGAGGCGGCAGAACGTCAAGTGGAGAGCCAGACGGCTTCTGCCTCGCAACTAGCTTACTCAGCTCAGAATATGAAACGGTATTGAGGGAGCTCAGGGTGGGTGGTGATGGATGAACTGGAACTGGGTCAACAGAGTTGGCGGGAATAGCTGCTCTAATGCCCGACACTTTATCAACAAAGAATCTGTGAAAATCTTCAGTTTCCAGCAGCTGTAGGAGGCATGACGCTAGGCTCCTGATACACCAGAACTGAGTTTAGTGTTTTGTAGAGAATCCTGGGATTCTTGGAGTGTGTTTCGATGATGTCTGCAAAATAGGCCGTTCTGGCAGCCCTCACTGCATCCTGATAAGCAACCAGAGATGCTCTGAACAACTCACGTGAGACCTGTAGGCCATCCTTTTTCCACTTTCTCTCAGAGGATCTACACGCCCGCCTACAAGCCCGTGTGACATCAGAGAGCCAAGGCTCTCAAGATAAGTGAGAATGGAAGGAAAGGACAGCCTCGTTCTTCTCCCAGGTGGAGGAAGAATAACAGTTCATGCCTACGAGGACTACAAAGATAACAGAAATAAAATGGGGACGACGGGCTGCTTGATTAAAGATGTGTAGCTGGAGCTATTTAGTTGGGAGCGCTCAGCACTTACAAGTTTCTATGGCAACGCCAGAAGTCCGCTTTAGCTCCGTTTCTCCACTTAATTGATTCAGTTTTCGTCATTTTTGTGTCAATTTCATATTCTGTTTCAGAGTCTGGATGTTTAGAGTCTCGATGACTGTTTATGCTGAGCGGCTGTGACTTAAGAACATATGTTCGTGCTGGTCACGTGACCCCAAAGTTAACGCTGTAAATCGTTCGTCATAAATACACATTTAGCACCCATATGACACACCCAAAAAACTCATGTATGCCATTTGAAACAAGTACTATGTTTACCACGTGTGACCAGAGTACAAGCTGCTAAAATGTATTGTCACATGAATAAAGTACTTCCTTGTGCGTGTGATATGTTAGCAGCTGGAAGGTAGTTTCAGGCTGTTGTAACATAAAGAGGACCGCATGTTAATGATATGGGTCCATCCCAGACTAACGCTGATACATGATTATACTTATTAATAATGCCGACATCAGGCGCAACATCAGTGGAATCAAACGCTCCTGGCTGCAAATGAAGATTAAATACAAACAATGTTGAGATGTAAATAGAACTTATTTTTAAAAGTTTAAACTCCACATTTGTTAATAATGTAGCCATCAAGAACAAAGCTGCGGCTGCTGACTAGAAAAATGGGTGCACCGTGTCTTGTCCAATCATATTCAGCAAGCAAGCCTAGCTGCTAGCCTGCCATGAGGCGGGTTTGCGCTCTATTATGTGTTACCGTGGCGAATGGGAGGGGCGTCAGGCTAGCCGCGTTTGGGGAAGTGAAACTGGGAATGGCCGTGTTCGAGATGAGCCAGTTCTGCGCAGATTGGATCACCGGTGATCGGCGAGCAGTGCATGCCGGTTAGATTTGTGTCCGACTTGACGCCGACTTGCTCTGACGTCATGCATACGTTGGCAACGATAACCTCGTGAGATCAAGGCGGCTGCAGATTTTGGAGCAAGGCGCTGCTGTTGCTCTCCCTCGGCTGCAAAACCAAGGGGATGACGGGAAACGCCTGGCTCTCACCTGATCTAAGATCTGATTGGTTCATATTCTGATCCAAACATCCGGTGGTAGAACATGAAATGGTCACATGTATTCTGTAAATCATGTAACGTTGAAGATGACAACTATATAGGCCATAAGGAGAAATGTGTTTTGTTTTCTTTTGTCATGTTTGCTATGAGCACACTGAAGCTACAGCTGATAACCTTTACTTATTATTACAGTCATGTCTCCATATACAATATATGATATCCACAAGCACGTGAGGATGGGTTTCAGCTGCTAACGGGCACCACAGTTACAATGGAAAATTAAACAAGTGTGAATGCTAACGCAACATCTTCATCCATCGTCACCCCCGAGCTACACATGTAGAGAAATCTGTCCGGCTTACGGGCCATTCCCATCTGTACCGGGTCGGCCCGGGCCGGGTAGCCCCAGTCGGCCCCAGCCTGGCCCGGTTGATTCCACACATCGTTGCCTTAAGCCCATGTGGGCTGATTCTACCCACCAATCAGAGGCTTGCTCTAATGGAAGGCGTGAATTTGCTGTCAGCAGTGGGTGTGTCGGCCCTGGTCGGCCTGAAGCAGACCCCCTCGAGAAGAGGGCTGAGAATGAGCCTTGGTTGGCCCGGGAAAATACCAGGCCACCCAGATATGTAAACAACCTACGCTACCCGGCCCGGGCCGACCCGGTACAGAT